CAGCTCAGGACACTTCCCCTTCCCTCGGTCTCTTGACATTGCCTCTGATCCCATCTCCTCCACTATCTCCGTCGCCTTCACCGCCATCCTCTCCCGTTCTTGCACCGAGGCCGAGGCCTGTTCGCCAAGACCTGCCTCCCGTGAAGCGCGCCCGGGTAGCCCGATATCACAACTACGTTCCTGAAGAGGAGACAATTCGAAATGACTATCCTCAGCGGTACGTCGATAGCGGGGAGCGGCCGCAAAATTGGGCCTTAGGTGCGGACCCTGAACATCGGTTCGAGGAGTACGTAACTGGTCTCATTTGTTAATGGTGAGTGCGAGCTCATCAGGTACGCGCGCAGGTACCCAAAACAACAGCGCCTGCTTTCTCTAAAGAAAGCATCGGTCGCACGGTATGCACTACCTCCTACTTACCTTCCCTTCTCTCACCTTGCGACCCTCCATCCGTCGAAATTTGACGTCATCCTCATCGACCCCGCAGTTTCGTCATCATTCACATGGGACCACCTGCAGGAGCTCCCACCTATTCTCGCCGCAGACCCATCATACATGCTCATGTGGGTGTGCAGCGGAGCGGGCGATGGTCTCGAGCGTGGACGTGAGGTAATGGCGAAGTGGGGCTTTCGGCGGTGTGAGGACATCGTGTGGGTCAAGACGAATCACATCAGCAACCATGGCCCGGGGTACGTCCAGCTATTCTGCGCCTCCGTTCATCTCTTATAGGGCTTCCCAGACAGATCCGCCAACTATGTCCCTGCTGACGCGCACGAAGCAGCATTGCCTGATGGGCATCCGGGGCACCGTTTGACGCTCGACCGATAGCTGGTTCGTGCACTGCAACGTCGGTAGGCATTCCCTCCACCAATGACCCGTCTTTCTCTCTTCTTAGGCACTTCCCTCTACAGACACGGATGTGATGATCGGGGAAGGCGACACATCTGACCCGATGCTCAAACCGCCCGAGACGTATACACTCATTGAGAATTTCTGCCTTGGCATGCGGCGGCTCGAGCTGTTCGGGTGCGCGCGCACGCTGCGTCGCGGCTGGGTCACTGCGCTCGCGGAGGGCGAGGAGGAGCGCATCAAGGAGGGCCTCGCGGTCGACGCGGATACGCAGGAGGCGGCGTCGGCATGCCGGCCCACAAGCACATCCAGAGGCCCTTATGTGGAACCGCGAATCATGGGAGGCGGGGATCAAGGAGCTATCAAACGGCGGGAAGGCAGTCGTGCCCATGACGCCCGGTGAGTTGTGTGTTCCCGATCCAGTTGAGCTTCGGACTGACTGATCGTCGACGCCAGAGATTGACGCCCTCCGCCCAAAGTCTCCCGTCCGTGGTGGCTCCACAAATCTCAATGCTGGAATGGGCTCCGGGGCAGGGCCCGCGCAGACAGGTGCCCCCGGCGCGCTCGCCATGCCCATGAACCCGCCGCCAAACCGCTCGGGCGGGTTCCAGGATCAGAACCGCATGATGATGCCACAACCGATAATGCCAATGAACGCGCTCGGCGTGGGCGAGATTGGCAACATGGGCAACGTGGGCATGATGGGCTGGGACGGCATGATGGGGATGCAGGGGATGCATGGAATGGGCGGGATGGGAATGGGGATGGGCGTACCACAGGGCATGGGATTCTCCGGGTTTGATGGCGGGATGGGCATGGGCTGGGAGGAGCAGTTTGGGGGTGGTCGGGGGATGTGGGATGAGGGCATGATGGGTATGGGTGGGATGGG